TCATTACACTGAAGCCAGCAAAACTACTAAAATTCCCTGCTCAGACTAAAGTTAAGCATGTGTGTTTCTTTTTAAAGTGGAATAGCGTAGAGTGCATGAAACTAAACACTTAAGTGTCTGCAAATATGGGACTCCAGTGCTAGTAGTCCTAGCAGCTGTATCAATGCAAAATAAGAACCATGTTGGCTTCAGGGAAAAAAATCTTGATGTACAGTAGAGCAGAACAGATTGTTTCCAGATTATTTTAATCCCTTTATGAAATCCAGGGTAGCACTCTCTTTTCTTACCCTTAGAAGGGACAGCATTATTCACCTCCTGATAGAGAAAATATTGTTTGTATTATTAGCTGGCTGGCATAGTCACTACTGTATATGGGAGAAGTAACACTAAAACCAGTCTCTTAAAAAATAAAGACATTGTATAAGTTGTTGTGTATGTACATATGTGTTAAGATTAACCTTTTTATATATAGTTCTGCAGTATTTAAAGGACTAGTTGATAAGGTTTTAACCTTAAAATCTAATGTGTCTAAGTGAACATTGGGAAAGCTGCATAGATCAAGCAAGAATTCCCCCTCAATGTGAAGTTTTTTTTTTTTTGCCAGTGATCATGTTTCACAGGCCCCAGAAGTGAGGGGGGAGGGGGTTGGTGGGACATGCAAGGAGATGAAATCTTTAAAATTGCGCTGAGAAACCCACAACTGAGCTGACCTCAGAAAGGGCAAGCTCCCTATCCCTGGTTTGTTGATGTAATGTTTAAAATTGCTTTTTTGCTTTTAACTGCCTTTACTTTCTGAGCTAGGGGCTGTCTTCATTAACAGCAAAAGTGTTACTTTGTTGTAGATGACAGATAAGCCTCATCACGGGAGAGTTACCTAGTAAGTATAGCCCAGGTGAACACTTCTGTTTCTCTCAGTCTTAATTTATTCCAAAATGTAATAGTTCAAATAAAAATCTAAAAGACATATGAAGCTTTTCCTTTTTTATTTTTAAACTGATATGTCCCTCACAGATATGACATGGAGGGAGTGGGGTTTAAATATCCCTGTTTTTAATGTAAAGTCTTATTCTGGGCCTTCTTTCTGGTATGCATTCCTCCCACATACTGTGGCTCTGAGTATCAGGCATGATGCTGCTGAGCTCTTATCCATTACATATGCTCAAAACTTCATTGCTCAAACTTCTGAGTTGCTTCACATGCTATTAAATATTTTGGGTTTTTTTGTTTGTTTGTTTAGTCTTGGATCCCTCTGTATGAGTCTTTAGTGATAAATTGCAACATGCTACTATTGGACTTACAGCCTTAGTAACAAAGATTTCAAGGAGGCAAAATGAAGGGAGACACTGCTCATTAGGCAATGAATAAAAGAGAGGTCTTAACTTGGTAAATAATCCACCTTTTATACTTGTATGTGATACCTAAGAGCTCCTTGACTATGGAAGAAATAGCCATGGCAAATAGTTTCATACACCTTTCCCACCTTCTCTGGCATTCTGCCAATCCATCGTCCCTGCTCACATCTAAGATTTATTTTATTGTTGTTAAACTTGGACTTTAGCTTTCTGAACATTTTAAACATGGCTTAATTGCTTAATATTTCACAAATTTTTCAGACAAACAAGGGTAGCTTTATGTTAGTAGGACACTTAGATACAGAATATCATTAATTTGACACTACTAAAAAAAAGCAAATAACAGAGTTAAAGTAACAAGGTTCCTAAACTGTACCAAGTCCTTAACATTAGACAGCTTGAACTTTGAACAATAACAGTAAAACAGTAAATATGCCTTGGTTTGGGGCAAAAATGAACACTCCTTTAGAGCTTATTAGGCTGTTGCTGGGGTTTTAATACTCCCACACTGAAAAAGCCAATCCCTCTACTGAAGCCTCCCTTTGAGTCTCTCTGACCCCTGCTGCAAGCCTGCTTTTAATCCAAAGGAAAATTTGCAAGGCTTGAGGTGAGGCATTGCACGTGGCTGGTATACCCTGCATCCTAAAGAGAAGCTAAAAAATAGTTTTGATTTACACGAAATGACATGCTGTAGGTATGTTAAAAACACTAATACAGAACAGACTTTTTTTCCTTTAAGAACACTAACCTCAGCATGGAATTCAGACAAACCATGGCCCCATATCCATTTAGAACCTATGTCACTTTAAGGATCTTTCATCATTGTGGTGGTATTGCTGCTCACTTTAGACTTTTAAAACTTTTTTGTTTGTTTCTTTTTTTGCCCTGGAGTTGCAGCAGCATTGAAGGGTTGATAAAGATCATCTCTGAAAAATAATAAAGCTTTCCATGCTGGAAATCAAAAACAGATTTTTAACTTTACCCATCCAGCCTTTTTGTAATGTGTGAAAGACAAATTAATAGGAAACAGTGAATTGCTCGACTTCATTAAGGTTAAAAGCTAGCAAAGGGGACCATCTCTATGTCACCAGTTACAGTAGCATCAATTTGTTCAGCAGAACACACTATTTCAGTTTTGGAGAAGCAAATTGATTATGTGAACCGTAAATTAAATAGGAATTATATATTGTGCATGGTCAGTGGAACACCTAATGAAGGCCCAAAACAGCCACAACCTCATGAATCCTTTGCTTTCAGCAGGTTAAAAAACAGGCTTAAAAAGACTCAGATTTAAAGGGACAAGTATGTGTTTGATTCCTTTTAATACAAGACATCTTAAGAGCCTCTTTAAATCTGCTTTCTGAAAAATAAGATCCCTATTAAGTGGCCCAAGACTGGCAGTCAGACACATTGCTGTTGAAAGTCTCCATTCTTCCAACCCAATCCCTATTTCATGATAAAATTGTAAATAAAATTTTATAAAATTCAATGCACTGTCAGGTTTGTACCAATATTCTTTACCACAGACAGAAGCATGGGCAGCTAGAGAAGAAAAGTGCTTGTTTTAGCCAGCACTGGAGAATTTCTATCAGAAACTTTTGAACTATCAGAAACTTTGTATACCCCGTTGTACTTCCACATTCTGTTTTTCTAGTTTTTTACTAAAAGTTGAGTTAATAATCCTCCTCCCTTCATGTATTTTCCCCCAAAAAATCATTCAAAACCCTTACAGAATATTTTAAGCAATTTTGCACATATGGCATTCTAATGTCCAGTCTATGCTTTTACATATGCATACATTGCTATAGCAAGTCTCTATATATGCACAAGATACTAGATTACCAATTGCATTGCTTTTGACATACAAATCAACATCTCATGCAACTTTTTACAGGTTCGTCTACAAGTTCAAAATGTAGAAAAACCTCTCTATCGTGGGACCTTCCATTGCTTTCAGTCTATCATAAAGCAAGAATCTGTAAGTACAAAATTAATGCCCTTTTAAATGTTATATCTATATATTTTGTGTTACAAGGGTGGGAAAGCTGTTCAGAAAAACCCTGCAAATACTGCAGAAGAAAATGATATTATGAACCTTTCATAACAGTGGAACAGATATTGTAGTTTTGGCACACAACTAAGTATTTTGCACACGTGGTTTCAGGTTTGGGTTCAGAAGTTTGCAAAAACTTCCTAAAAAAACCACTAGGCTGAAAGTTTAAATTTTGACTTGAAATACGTAACTTTTAAAATAGGATAACTAGTTCCTTGAGTAAATAATTTTCAGAAAACACAAGCCATCTAAGCAAGGAGTGAATGAATTATATTTCTGCCAAACCCATAAGACTATAGGGATGGCCTTAGGCTTTTAGCTATTAAGAAAATAAGTTTTCATTTTCCTCCCTTGGAAAGCATGCAAGTATATATTCATACTCCTAGAAATGTTATTTTAAGATGTTTGTGTCTTAGGCAACAATCAAATTATTACTGCAAAGCAAGGTTGTACTTATCTACTGGATACTTTTAGGATGTTAAAGCATATGTGAAAACCAGAAAGTACCTTTTCTGGGCTGTTTTGGAAGATTATCGGATTATTATATTATTATTAAAAAAAGTTTTTTCTTCCTCCTTCCCCCAGGCTTTTGGACTCTATAAAGGCATTGGGTCACCAATGATGGGACTTACCTTCATTAACGCACTTGTATTTGGTGTACAAGGAAATACACTTCGTGCTCTTGGAAAAGACACTCCTCTAAACCAGTTTATTGCCGGGTCGGCAGCAGGGGCTATTCAATGTGTCATCTGCTGTCCCATGGAGTTAGCCAAGACAAGAATGCAGCTTCAAGGAACAGGTGAATACAAATTGAAGACAAAGAACTACAAAAATTCTCTGGACTGCTTGATCAAAATCTATCGAAAGGAGGGGCTGAGGGGTATCAACAGGGGTATGGTCTCTACATTCATAAGAGAGACACCAAGCTTTGGCTTCTACTTCCTGACCTATGACTGCATGACCAGATACTTAGGCTGCGAAGCTGAAGACAGTTTTGTAATTCCCAAACTGCTGTTTTCTGGAGGGATATCAGGAATCGTATCCTGGCTCTCAACCTACCCTGTGGATGTGATCAAATCCCGGCTTCAGGCAGACGGAGTTGGTGGAGTCACCCAGTACAAGGGCATTCTAGACTGTGTCAGGAAAAGTTACCACGATGAAGGCTGGAGGGTGTTCACAAGAGGGCTGACCTCTACCCTTCTCCGTGCTTTTCCCGTTAATGCAGCTACTTTTGCTACTGTCACCGTGTTCCTAATGTACATGAGGTCAGAAGACGACCTTCGTGGGTGTGAGCCAGGCCCAGCAATCCAGCAGCCTTCGAGTCTGTGAATGTTACATTTTTCCCCTTGACCCAAAGCCCTCCCCACCTTTTTTTTTTTAATGTAGACACTTGACTTAAAGTGTTGTAAATATATTCTCTCTGTATAAAAAGTCAAAAATGTGTCAAAATTAGTGTTTCATCTCATCACTTGTACAATCAACATATGGCCTTGCTAAGGACTTAATATCCAAATGTATCCATGTAAGATGGGACCTGCCTTTAGAAGTACTGTACAGATATTGCTATGTCTCCAGAACAGGATCTGAAGGATGCTGTAGTACAGAAATCAGTTATAATTCCAACAGTGTTCTGAGTGACTGAGTTGAATCAAATGCAGAAGTGTTTTCAGAAGAGAAATATATTTTTTGTATATAACATAGACAGTCCTATATGGGGAAGCAGAGAGAGGGTGAGAAGTTAAACACTGAGACCATTTTGCAGGTAACCCTAAACTGTTTAAGACATTCTGCAAGCTGTGTGCTTCACTTTTCCTCTGTTTTTACGTCAGCAGTTTTAGTAGCATCTTTGTTCATACTGGTTAAGAACTGATTTGTTCCTAAGCTACTCTCTCACCTTTCTGCTTTGCATAGATATCTTAAACGCAAACAAGAGTTAGCATCTACATTCATGTGTGCTTGTTCTTTTAAACTTCAAGGCTAGTAAGGATTTAAGGTAACTCAAAGCTACCAAGATTGATGTCTTTTTACCTTCATCTCTGTTTCCTACTTGCAGAGCGCACAGCATGTATCAGCCAGCTTCAGCCCAACTAGATTTTGTTCTCTGAATTTTGTAACTTTGTTACCTATGTTACTGTTCAAAATGTGGGTGCAATGTTAGCTTAGCAGCTTTAAGTACTAAAGATGTACATACATCTTTAGTAGTGGAGGTTTCATACCTTTCCTGAAAACAGGGATACGTCTGAAATGGTTAACGTTCAATACGCTTGCATTATGAATTTAAACAATACTGGCTTTTAAGTGTTTAGTTACAGTGCTACTGGAAGGAAGCAGTCTGTTCAAGATGAATTACTTTAGAGTAAGAGCTATAAACAGTTATTAATACTTGGAATAGGAACCATGCATATTTGGCACAAACAGCCATGAGAAAGCAGTGCAAGTGGTGGGGAATATTTACAAAAGCATCAAGTTTGCTCAGTAAGTAAAAACTTGTTACACTTTTGCTTGGGACATGTGCAATATGTGTTTAATTTATATGGATTTTCTAAAGAAACCTTAATTCATAGCATTTTGCACTGTAACAAAGTATGCTGGATAAACCTGTAAAACTGGTAAAACTTTTTATACCTTGGAGGTATGTTGGATGTTTTAGTGCCTACTTGCACTGAGATTCAAATTGAATGTTAAACATGTCTACTAAGCTGCATATGCACAACGATTCAAAGCAAAGACAATTTACACTTTTGTACAGTAGTCTGTAATTATTGTACATAAAACTGAAGGAATAAATTTTTTTTTAATTGTGACTTAATTCTGTTAATTCATCTTTTTAAAGGGTAGAATATACTTAACTGAAATAAATCTTGCAAGGATCAGTTTGCTAGAAAAGGGAAAGGCCATCACTTCTCCCACTAGCCATTACAAGGGTCAGTGCTATTCAAGCACTTGTTGCTCCCACTGAGAGAGCACAAACTTTGAACTCTGGCACAAAAACAAAGACTTGGAGCAAGTGAACAGCTTCTTTGGGAAGACAATCCCTAGAAGAGAGTAGCGCCAATAAAACAGAAAGGGCTACACAGTATTTTACTCAATACTTGCTAAAACAGTCCTTCCGGACATATAGATCTTAAAATAATCACTAGCGGGCTGTTAAAACTACTGCTACAACATAATAAAGAAGTTTAATGAGAAGATAAAAGCCAGCCTCCACCCTGTCCTGATGTCAGGTGCTTGAAACCTGCGCTTTGTCCAGCTGATAAATCAAGCCATACCAATAACCTCGTTCTTTTTGTTGTGCTCGGTGTTTGAAATTGCTTTACCTTCCAGGGAGCAGCACTACTATTGCACAAACCAGCTCACGTTCTGCCTTCCTCCAGTTCAAGCGCGTGCTGAGAGCTCTGTCCTGGGGCTCTGTAAAAGGCAACAAAGTTCAGTGAAGGTCAGTTGGCTGCAGCAGGACTCGACCTATCTGAGGAAGGCTCCAGGTCCACACAGAGAAGAAGTAAAAACATTTTTTCAAATGCTCTTTCCTACGGTGCTGCTACACTGATTTGCCTGTTCCCTTTGAACAACTGGAACAGAAGACAGGGCACTACCACGCCAAGTGGTCAGCACTAGCTTAGATAATTTTAAGTGTATCACAAGAAGAATACTGCTGCTAATCAGGCTGATTAGCCTCCACTCTACCTGTTCCTCCCTACTTCTGATAAATCAGTCAGTCCAACTACATCAGACAGAACTGGAGAGGAATAACCCCAGACACCAGTGCAGATGAGGGGTTGACCTGCTGGAAAGCAGCTCCTTCGAGAGGGATGTGGGAGTCCTGGTTGACAACAGGTTAACCATGAGGCAGCAATGTGCCCTCGTGGCCAAGAAGGCCAATGGGATCCTGGCTGCATCAGGAGGAGCGTTGCCAGAAGGCCGAGGGAGGGATCCTGCCCCTCTACTCAGCTCTGGCAAGGCTGCACTTGGAGTACGGGGTGCAGTTCTGGGCTCCCCAGTACAAGAGGGATGTGGAGCTTCTAGAGAGGGCCCAGCAGAGAGCCACAAAGATGATTAAGGGACTGGAGCATTTGTCATATGAGGAAAGAACTGTGTTCTGCCTCCACAGATGCTCATTTCCACTGGCATTATGGCTGGCTAGGAGAAGCTCCATTAATATCTCAACAACTGAAGGGAATCAGAAGGTAAAAATGCAGCCACCATCAGCCATTGGGCTGTGCCTTCAGCAAGCACAAGCTCCAAACCATTACATATGTATCCCTCAGCTTGCAGACTAGCGGGGAGGTAAGGAGGCACAAGGGGAGTTAGCAGACACAGGTTGGAACAGGAGGTCAAACAGAAGATACGTCGCCAAAGAAAGTACAGAAAACAAATCGATACAGCTCACAAAAACATTAGGGATCACATTTCCTTAGTTCTTTTTTTTCTCTCCAGGACACAGAGATTAAGTATTGAAGCCTTTGCTTGTAAAGCCAGCTATGAGCTTTGTGCTCTGGATGAGTCAAACGGGAATCTCAAGATTAAGGTCAGTAATCTGTGACAAAAACCCCACAGAGCAGGTAGGCCTCATACAGACAACACTCGAGCAGCTCTCTCTGCAGTTCAAGAGAGCTCCACACGCTGCACTTGAGCCCAAAACCAGCCTTGCAATTATTCTTCCAAGAGCTGCATGGAGGGCTCAGTAGAGCTCAGGAGAAATAGCAGCCAGTAACATCTGTGTAATCAAGACCCACTGCTCTAATCTTTTCTCACTCTGTTACTGAATTACAAGGTGCAGCCAGAAAAACAGCACAGAAGAAAGAAGTGAACATGTATGCAACCCACCCCGGCACTAAAACGAGAGGCTTTGATCTGATGTCCCAGCAAAGTTGAGGAAATTTGTAAGGAAGTTTGGAGATGAATGATTCTCACGCTATAAAAACATTTCCATGACAAATAACACTATTCAAATCTAGATCCTGTTGAGCTCAAGGTTTTAAAGAGGTCACTGTAGAAAATCTACTGGGCTGAAATTCCATGCATTTATTACGTCTGTCATGACAACGTGACAGAATTCCTGGATTATTTGTTTTCTCTTAAATGAATTTTTTTGCATGTGTGTGTCTTTTTTTTGTTTGTTTGTTTTTTAAATAGACAGTATGATGAAAAACTAATATTTCATATATGCACATTTTGGGTGCAGGACAGGGAACATACTGAGAAAGCTAGAACTTAAAATAGAAAAGTTGACCTTACAGAGAAGAAACGTGTTTATTCTGTGAAATTAAATAAATTTACTGTTACACTGGGAAACAAGCGCTAGCAGCTGCTGTTAGTCAGACATTTGATTTACATAGTTAAAGAACAACTTAGAGGCCAGAAGTGCGCCAAACACCATTAGATTAGCAGAAGGTGCACTTAAATACTTTTTCTACATAGCGAAGTGCCAGAGATAATATCCAAGTTATCCAAGGCAATATGCCATATCAAGCACTACAACCACGAAGATAGATGAAGGATATAAGGGGCCACACGACTCTGGGAAGCACAGCAGCAAGTCAGTAAAGAACCAGAGGGTCAAACCTACTGCATATAGGTGTTGAAAACTATTTCTTTCAGTGTTCAAGTCAATAGGAATTTATGTATGTTTATGGGTGGTGGAGGAAGGCAGAAGAAAATAATGCAACTCATTGCAACCATTTCATAATTTTTGTCCCAGTGCTGCCCCTATTGGTTAGGATAATACTTTTAATTACTAATGATACTACATTACTAATGATACTGCTACTACTAACTTATCATTAACAATGATATTAACTCTAAAAATAGAGTTAATATATACAATATGAAGTGATTTGAACTAGAACGTGATTTTAAACTAGATAATTTGATCAGAAAATAAATTCTAAGCAATCAGGGCAAAATCTACAGCAAAAAACCAATACCCTAAAACAGTAACTGATATTATTGGGAGAGAGGCAAGTTTTAAAGTGCATAAACCATTTTCAGGCCTATAAAAATTTACATTTGCAGTTCATTTATAATAAATAATGAATGCTACCAAGAAGCAGTTCAACTTTTTTTTTTTTCCCTCACTTAAAGAACCACCTCTACTTTTCTACTACAGTAGTAAAAATGGGTTGTACCACTTTAACCATATCCTTGTTTCTATCAATAAAAATACTACTAACGAAAATGGACCTCATGGTCTGCTAATGCACTGCTTGCTACCATTATTAAATAAACAGGAAAAATTGTTGCTACACTAAGTTGGCCTGGCTAGACTGAGGTTTGTAGGAAAGAGCACTAATGTTCTTTTTCTAGGATCTAATTGCTGTCTTTATTCTAGATTAGCAAAATTCACCTCTTCTAATCATGCAAGCTATGATCCTTAGTCTGTTTAGGAACAAAGAGTGAAGGATTCCCTGCCCAAAGGGCAAATCTTTTGTTTTGCAGAGGAAAAAGAAACTTTTATTTTATTGACACACAAGTTGCATCACACCACACATTAGGTAATCAACCACACACCAAATTTAGCAAGCCCAAATCGCTATTGGCAATACTAGTGAGGTCCTTGGCAAATACCTTGCAGCTCTGAAGGACAACTGACTATGAATCAATAACTCATTTCATAAATGCTGTAACTAATAAAAATTCCTATGGATTTGTCTCACAACTGATCGATGGGACAAGCTTTGACTGAAGAACATACCTATTCAAGCGGCTTTCCTCTGTATGGATTTTACACTATTTAACAAAGAGTCTAGCTTACGCCTCAGTCTTTCTCTGCTCTATATTTTCTCTCAAAATTTAGTTTTTTTTTTTTCCACAAATAGCATCCCTTTTAAAGGCACAGTTTTTGTGGGAGAAGCAGTTTACTGGGGGGGAGGTTTCGGTTCTCTTACGAGCAGCAGTGCTGGAGGATCCGATACAGCATCTGCTCTGAAAGCCTGTGCAGTGGCTTTGCAAACATCAGGAAAAGCAACACCCTAGAAGCCAAACTCGGAGGCTGTAACTGCCTCAAGGGAATCCACCCTAGCGGTTCTGCAGCCATCTCTACAATCGCTGCTGCTGTAAAACACTGGGGTATTTTATATCATTCATTAGCATGGTATCATATATTAACAGCACACTACTAGATTTCTACTTTTCTCTTTAAAGATACTTGATACTAGTCTTGAATCTGCATTCCGTTTTGTGGGGAGATTCCCCGCACAACACAGGGAGGTCCATGTCACACTGAAGGGGTTTTTGATTCCCCTTTCACCGTTGCTCTGGTGGTTCTTTTAACGAACACGCGGTACGCACAGGACCGTCAGAGGTCGGCACGGTTGAATTTCTCACTTTCATGCTGGTGTAGGGGAAAACTGCTCTTTGACACTTACATGTTCCAAGTCTGTCACGGCCTACTTAGGCCTGCTTACCTAACTACGGAGAAGTTCCTCTCCTCGTGAGCTTGTTCCCATCAAGGCTGCCTGACACTGCTCTTCTGGCTACTATTCATTACACAAGCTGGTAATACACGGCCATCTCGTGGAAAATTATCCACCAAGAACTTCTACATAGGCTGAAATAAAGCCTTGTCATGGATACTACCGAATATTCTGCCCACTAGAGTGAAACTTTACTTACACTTACGAGAACAGGTAAATGTTCAGTTGTAGTGAGAAAAAGATCCAGACATTCTGCAAGGATCCCACGGAGCTTCCTTCTCTCCCTCTCCCTTCCAAAATTTGACATTTTTACAGAAGTTAAGGCCTACTTCTGAAGGCAGCTTCCAGGTTACATAGGAACCCAGTGAGAAGAGTAGCTCACAAGAATTGTTATGTCCATCTTAACACAGAATAAAAAGGATAGTCCATGAGAAATAATGGTATCTGATATCAAAGCCTTTCTGACATAAGAGAGGACTTTCAAAGAAAACCTAAAAACTGAGTTGTGCGAACAGTAATTGCTAGGGGTAATCTCTTATTCATTTGTCTAAAGCAAAAATGTGGTTTTGCTGCTGCTTTATGTGAATGTAGGACTTAATGGACCTTCTCCAAAATTAAATTTAGTATATTCCAAACTATGCTCAGAGAAATGAGGGAACTGCAAAAAATTGCATAGTTGCCTTAACATAGGATAATTGGAAGTATACATAAACTTGCCTAAGCTAGTTTGGTTTAGGAAAAGGAGAATGAAACTGGGATCACCAGTTAAATTATCTTGTAAATCAAGGCCCATTGCTATCCAGGTGAAATTTCAGCATTGCCGTAAGGTCATCTTCACACTCTTGGTTTTCTACAACGTGATACTAGATCAGCTCACATAATCAAGACGACTAAGACAAACACATACATTCTTTAGTTTATTTGTACCTTTCCAGATCATTACTTTGATCTTTCAACTTGCTGTTGCTTCTCACGCCCTCTTCCTATCATTCTCCCACTTTTTTTGCCCTGGGATTGCCAAAACAAATTTACTTAAGAAAAGTATTTTTCACTCTTCCCAAGGAAATGGTACTTATTAACTACACCATTTACACAGCTATAAAGAATGGTACTGCTTCCAAGCCCAACTTTTATTTACTCATGCCTGCCAGTTTTACACCCAACATTCAATTTTGAAATCCACTGCAACCTCTATTGCTTTTGAAAGACTTGTTCATTTCTCCACAGCTTTAAGTAATACAGGAGCAATAAAGTTATTAAGAACCCATAGCTTATTGCTGATACAGAAATCTACTCCCTTGGCTCTCTCAAGCTATGATAATGCAGACTTAAGAAGATGCAGCCCAGTTGACAAGGTTATCAGTTATTCCAGAAGACAGTTCTTATGGCTTGGCTGGATCAAAGCCAGTAACAATTTCCACAGGCTTGATCTGAACTTCATTTGTTTAGCAGCACTGACAAAATACTGACACATTTTTTCAAGGCACCAATGAATTCCCATTTTTCAATGGAGCTCAGGGAGCCTATTCATTGAATAGTACCCCCAAGTTTGTCCATCTCATCTGAATGGAAAGACATATATAATTTCCAGTCTTTCCAGGACAGGCACTGATGATACCTGTGTTGCATGCATCTTATGGCATGGGATAACGAAATGGAAACATCTTTTATATCTCATTGCCAAAGCCTTAGAATTTAGCATGCTAAACTTGTTTCCTTCAGACATTTTAAAGCCTACTAAGTTTGCCGATTCCATTAACTACTGCTTCTTTTGCCCTTAATTTACCATTGAACTAGCAGAGGAAAAAGGATCTCTACCATTAAAACCAGGATACTGCTGGCAGCTACGCTATTCCACTGTATTTAGTATATGGCTCCTTGGAAAGACAAATTGTGGCCAGAATGAAGTGTGAATTACCAGACTGTGCTACCTCAATCCAAGAGCAAGCCTCTCGGTCCAAAAAGATAACTAGAATCAAGTACAAGTGTAGCTGAGGCCCTAGTAAACAAGAGTAATTAAACCTTAGTTCTGTTTCACTATGAATTTATTCACTTACCACTTCGAAGTTGAATCTGAGCTCCTCCTACTCACTGTTCAAAAATAGAATCCCTAAAAATAAGGGGTGTTTAAATCCAGTTTTTCTTGCATTTAAGGCATAAAGTTGTTGCTACTGGCACACCACAGAGAGCTCGAAAAGTCTATAGTTAGTTCTTCCTTTTAAAAGGCTCTGAGCCCAAGAGATACAAAGCCACAAGTACAGCTGCAGAAATTTTCTCCTATTTTGGCTGCAGGAGAACTAGATAATATGAAAAGTTAAGATAACACAAGCAATAAAAGAGCCTGACGTATAAGTTCTGAAATCTTTCACCAGTTATAAAACTTCTAGCTACATTTCCCCCATCCATTAGACTCTGCTCCCCTTACCTGAACTTGCTCCTAAGACGGTGGTGCAAGTGCAGGCTGCTGCGGAGAGCTTTCAAAGTCCACTCTGTTGCTATTCCCAAAGCTTGCAACTTCTTCACACAAAGTCTGTAAGGAGACCTCTGGAAGCAACTATGTGTGAAAATTTAAAGGACAAGACGTGCCAACTGTACTTTAAAAGCTTAAATAATTTACAGAAGCTGCTCAATGTAAGGATTTATTCATTCCCAGTATGGAAATCACCAGTTACAAACAAACAAAAATCTAAAACACACACAAAAACAAAGGCAAAACAAAACCATGCGCACCACTCTCCTGCAACCGAGTTCACTCTGACTCAGGAGCATGCTGGATGTTAGCAACCCAAAGAGCAATCTGAAGCCCTGATGATCTCCCCTTAATAGATGCTGTATAAAGAGAGATAACGCAAGTTTTAGCTCCTGCTTAATCTTCAAATTAGCATTGAACACATATAACTTCTCAAAGGCAGGTTCAAGGATGAAGTACAGAGACAACCAAGGAATCCTTTTATCTTGCAGCTCAATAAAACTGGTTAATGATTTGTCTCACTAGAAAGCAGAATAAGACTAGCATCATCTCATATAGTGTTTAAAGAAATGTAAGGTCAATTAGAACTAGACTGAACTGATTTTATTTCCTTCCAAAAAGAATAGACACTAATTTAACTGCATACAGAATTTAAGTTAACTATACACATTTCATATATTGCCCTGTTCAAGAACCGCTTATGAAAAATACTGCCAAAATTCTAATGCACACTTTACAGTGAAATGTCCCATCTTGCTTTCCACCCCGAATAACCTCAGGCTAGTGCTGTGGTGTCCACAATAACTCATATATGGATGAGAAATCTCCCGCTCTTCTCAGGTTTACCTTCGTGTTACTCATGTTTTTCACTACCACCAGAATTGGACTCAAAAGTAAATTTTACTGTAATAACCGTGAAAAGTTTGATGAACTTTGTAAGAACAGAATTCAGAAAAGACTGACAACAGTTTTACAATAATATAGATCTCACATTCCTCTAAAAAAATAATACTTATGCATTTCTGTGCATATTCTTGTGTTTATTAGTCTGTCACATTTTACTATAGTATCTGCAAATTTCTTACTTTGAACACTTGAACAAACAAGTAGCAACCACTTTGAGTTAGACCATCAAAACTCCATCAAATTATTTTAGAGAACTTTTAAGCTCTTATTTTGAAGTAAAAGGTGACCAAGGAGGTTCCAGGATTTTTCATTATTATATCCAGGCAAACAAGTTAGCCAAAAGAAGGCTTTTTTTTTCCCCCCCACCCTGGTATTACCACTCAAGCCCTACTGTTCCCACGCTTTATACTGCCATTGAATTTGAACCTCCCGGGTTCCTTACCCTGAGGTGCCCATATAGCTATATATACTGTACGCTCCCGCCTACCTGCTGTCCAGGCGCACTGACAGCTCCTTTACGACACCGCCACGTCTCCAAACCCCCCATTCCAGTCCGGGGAAGTCTAGGTCACTCAGCAAACCCAGAGGTACAGGCACCAATTCTGCCTGGCACACCAACTCATGGGGCATCACCCAATTTCATTGCATTCAATTACAATGATTTGTAAAATAAAGGAAACTTGCGTTTATTTAACTTCCAAATTCTGGGAGGTTCAAGAGGAACTGGAATTGCTCTGGACAACAAAAGAAAATAGACTGTGCTTACAGATCATTTTCTGCCATATTCTTTCTTTAGGACCACTGTTTTATTGTTGCCCCTTCTATTACATGGGATGTACATATTATCAGGTGTTAATAAAAGGTCAGTGCCTGTACAATACATTCTACAACTGAGCACCACTTTCCGTAACTGAACAGGCAAAGAAATTACACTGAACATCAGCATCTGGCAGTATTTTTCCAAAAAAAGTGACTAAAATGGGTTTAAATTGATTAACACTATTAAATCACATCTAATATTTGATACTACATGATTTCATTACAGCTATACGATACAATTATACAAAATGTGTTAACATCAAAGAATACAACCAAAATTAAGATAGCAAACAAAACCTATATAACTTTTTTCTTTACAGGAAAATACTTTTGAAGTATGCATGTAACTGCCCATTCTTTTAAAGAAAATCTACTGCAAGCAAAGTTATCAACCTCCGGAAAAATCACACATAGCATTACTACGCATATCCCCAAAAAGTGTACAATATGCACACTTGGAAAATACAAAATTAAAAAAATTGTAAGCAACAGGTGAGCTTCATATTTATAAGAATGTGAAAAGAAGTCCAATTTTAGCACTGTTGTATAAAGAATTGTCTTTTTTGACGCAAGTTCATGAACTGACCCCTCCAGTCGGAGTCGCACTTTACAAAACACCGTGTTCTTGAAACGGGATTACAGAGCAAGGTAGAGCATCTTAGCAACGTCACCTTAAAGTTTTGTTTTGCGTTTTTTTGCTTTTTATTTACTACTTATCAAAACACGTCCTTTAGCTTTGTAGGGTTCTTTTTTTTAAAATTCTTTCCTAGAAACAATATACAAAGGGGAGGCATATTTATTCCCGATCATTCTCCTGCAAGATGCTTTGAGTTCAGGAACTTTCTCCTCCTATTTTCACTGGTTGTTTTTGGCCTTAGCGTGTGTTAAGATGTGAGATTTCAGGTTAGTTGATTGCGCAAACTTCTTATTGCAGCCGTCAAATGGGCAAACATAGGGCCTGTCGCCAGTATGAATTCGCACATGTGTGCGTAAATTGAAGTCCAGTGAAAAACGCTTTCCACATCCTTCAAATGTGCACTGTTGAAAGGAAAAAGATAATGCCATTAGCTAACAAAAATAGTTGCCATTTTAATCATCTATTAAACTATTCCCCTTTCAATCACTAGGCTGCACAACCTTGAAGCCAGATGTTGAAGATCATTCTCACAAAAAAGAGAGCCAATAAAAATAACATATGTAGCTAACCTTATGCAATAAAATGAGGCAGTGGGTTTTAAAAAAGAAAACCGATACTTCAGGCTGTTTCATCACAGTAGTATACCAATTTTTAAATTAAAGAGAAAAACAACTTCAAGCTTGCAAGCAAATATATAACCAAAAATCCCTCTGTGCCCCAAACATGATTTTGCTACACTCTTCCAGAAATGTATATACAATGTTTCACATCAGAATTACAGTGATAGCTCTGCTCCTTTTACCAGCTTCAGATTCAAGACAGGCTCCTAGCACCAAGGACAGCATGTTTTGCAGCCAGTATTTATACTGAACAGCTCCAGCAAAAGCAACTATCTGAGGACTGCAAATCAAATTTCTGGAAACATTCATTTCTCCAAGAGACTAAACAATGTATAGATATAACAGGCATGTCTTACACTCAAGACTCTGGAGCACTTGAAGAACATTACACAAAACACACCATACGAAGTAGCCTGGGGACCTCTGGTGGCAGAAGCTCATGTGACTTGGTATGAATGGAGACAGATTCAGTATGGAAGGTCATTTTGTCAGAAGCTGATTTATAATCAACACTAAAGATTAGTATGAGGAGTCAGAGCTAAGAGCCCTGGAAGCCAGGTGTCTCAAAGCTGAAAAGGGGGAGGAGCAGGACCTTCATTTTTAAAATGGCTTACTTTATATAATAAATATATAAGATACCTCACACAAATCTTTTTCTGATTTCTATCAAAAGACCATAGAATCAGACAAAGGGTCGCCTAATTAGCGTAAAGGGCCTTTCAAATAATTTAAGATGATGATCCAGTGTCTCATCTCATTTAGAAGAAAACCATTATCCCCCAAATCAAGCAAAAAGCTAGGTCAGAGTTACAGTCTACAGAAGCTATAATTAATAAACTGGAGCAATTGTGCCTGGAAGTTACCCATACCTGAAAGGGCTTCTCTCCAGTATGAACTAGCTGATGTCGCTTTAATTTGGAGCTCTCCACAAAGGCCTTGCCACATTCTGCACATACGTGTACTCGAGGACCATGGGTGTGAAGATGCTTCCTCATCGCAGAGTTGTCCCTGAACATCTTTGTGCAGCCCTTAAAAAGAAGGGTGATACTCAATTAGTAGATAAATAGTTCTGATAAAACTTTGTGTATCTGCTACAGCAAAAATGCTTTTATATTCTGAAAATCTTAAAAGTTGGCCCTGAAAAGTTAGTCCTATACCCTGATTTAAAAGATCACTCCCATTAAAACTACTCATTTGAGAAGCTGTTAAAATAAAACAAAAAACAACCACCCTCTCCTCACTTAATATTATGAACCATATAATAGGACAGTCTCATGGAGAAGATGCAGTGTAATAGAAGCAAATGAACTGAAGAAAAGCCCTTACGGTCTGAAAAAAAACCCAAAAGATAGAATGATAGAGTTCATGGCTATTTAGGGTATATTTTCTCCTCTTACGTCCTCTAATACACTACGGAGTATTTTCAAGGTTCCAAGATCCATCTGCACCACTGTCTCCTAACACTCCACACTTTCCCTCTCTGTCCTCCTCACTTCTGACCAAAAAAAGGCCAGAGAGTTTTCAGCAGATGACAGTTACAGAGATTACTCAGTCCGTATTCGAAGCACTTCCTTCTGTGGCAGCAGATCAACAACTACCACCTGGAAGGTGGTAGACAGGAGAAGACAGAAGAAACTACTACTGCTGCTGCTTCTACGGTTTAAATCTACAACATACTGGGGAAGAGAGTAAGACAGGAGCACCTCTGAGGTAGGGCCAACTCAGCCTAAAAGCAGACACTCGCTTAGCTCAGGTACAGAGCCAGGAGTCTTAATCTGGCACCTCTGGAACATCCTGTATTGATGCAGAACAGTCCTTTTGACTCCAGAACTTAAAATAGTTGCAGCCTAGAACTCTTTACAACACCACTTGAAATTAAAAATAAAAAAATAAAAAAACTCCCACCAACTATCACCAGACTGCATTTTAATCACAGGCAATAGATATCTATCACTTTTTTTTTTTTTAAATAGATCCTTTTCTAGATATAAAATGCTTCATGAGATCTTACTAAAAATTTTAACTGCTATGTGTAGTTTAAGCGTAAAACTTAAAACTAGCTTACCAGAGTGGTATGATGAATAAAGTTCAACAGCAGAACATAAAGGGGCTATTGACTGCTATACTTCAATTCTGCAGACTGCTTCTTTGGAATACACTTTTCTCAAAACTAATAAACATATTTAAACATGTCTTATTTCTTGAGAAGGGGAGAATTACCACTTTCAAGAAGAGTTTCTCCAGGCACTAAAATTTCTTCGGCTAATTTGAAAAGTGCCATGTCACTCTTCACTGCACATTAGAGAACTGAGTGAGGTAAAAAAGCACTAGAACACACAATGAACCTGTTTACATTCATTTTAAGTCCCTACTTGCCTCTGAGAGAAGCAGTGATGTTTTCTGCAACAATTTTTTTAAGTCAAAGTCAAATATACACAAGCACAGGAATTCTAATAGAGAAGAGATGGAAGGATAGGAATATTCTTTTTTCGCCTCCCTATTTAGATGAAGTCAAGGCTATGGAATCAAAGAAATGAAAAGCAACAATCCTCAGTAGTGCAAGGCATAAGCATTCCTTCTCAAATAAGCTGGTGCTGTAGCTTCACATACTACAATATAGTGAATTAATGACACATGTAGAATATGAAGGATTGAAAAACAATTTAAACACAAAGAAAACTTCTCAGCCCAAAATGACAACTGATCAGACTATAGCTGGCAGAAAGAAGCCTTTTATTAAGGCTGAATATGTGCTTAGACTCACAATATCTAGACCAGAAGTCAGCAAGATTATAATTGTCTTTTCCCATTACAGGCTAAATCACAGCTAACAGAAGCTATTCAGAAGCCAGGGGATGCAGTAAATCTGGATGCTACCAATCTAAGTGACTAGCAACATCAATCCACCACAGAAGCTTCCCAGCTGGCTCAGAATCAGTATCTCCCAGATGCCTCTCAAGATGATGCATCTTCTAGCTCTGCAGAACACAATTCGAAGTCTTCCAATAAGCCAACTTTGTCATCTACACCATAGATTGCTGATTCCTGATCTAGATTCCCAGTGTGTCATAACTTCCAAGCAGAGGATATAGAGATATCTTAGGAACGTACTTTGAACAGCTTTCAGAACATTCTTTCAAGTATGTATTCTTGAGTGGCAGGAAATCACAACAGTAAAACCAGCATGTTAGGGACTGTGCATCATGGTTACCAGAAGATTAGGGATGCACTAACCTTAAGACAAGGAATGGGAATAATATATTATTCAGTGAAAGGTTTTTAAGGAAGCCTCTAAAGAGTGATAATTCAAATACAGTTAACTGAGTATAATCTATTTATAATAAGATATTTTACCTGATCATTCTCAAAAGAAAACAGCAAAACAAAACTCTGTTCTGATAATTACTACCCACTCAGAATGCTGAGGGCTTCACTTACTTTGTGAGGACAAGCTATCGTTCTTGGAGCATCATCTTCTTTAATTTTTCTTGGCTTCATTCTTAAAGATAAAAAAGGGAAAATATTAGTAGATAGCTCTTCTCTCACAGCTGTTTGCATATGCAAAGATTATTCAGTAGTATTACATGTGCTGGCAGTATTCAGAGTTTAATATTTTTCATCCCTCACAATAATATTAACAGTGTACTTTGGCAATTTGAAAGTTCAGCTTTTCCAGAAGCACCTCTCAAATAAAAAATCCTACCTTCCTAGTTCTCTGAATATATGGGAAGAGAGGTTTTTGCTGGCTTTCCCTAACTATGTAGAAGACTCCATTTTTGTTATGCCCGTATCCATGTGGCCTGTGCATCTTTACTTGCCCTCCCATCCCCGCCCCAGGACTTGGAAGCAGCAGAGCTCAGTTGTTCAGCAGCAGTTCCCCATGCCAGAGTCCAGAAAACACCACTGCAGAGGCAAGGTGGGCAGGCAAGCTGTGGAATCTACACAGACAAGGTTAAAACCACGGAAATGTAGTAGTCATTCTTGCTCTAAATCACTGTACACACTGTACAGATTCCACACTTAGCAGCTGAGAAGCAATCACCTATTTACCTTTATTGACTGGCAAGGATATTCACTACTACTTCGTGGACCCCCACTAGCGGGTCCCATTGACTACACAGAAAACACAGCAAACTAACGTCTGCATTTAAATTAGGTGTTTCAAATATATTTCCAAGACTCACTGTAAGCAACCTTTTCAGAAGAGTCCTGCTTTAACACTTACCAGTCTGGATGCCTGAAGAACGTCATATACATGGACACCTAAGTAACATTTACCTAATGTTACTTCTCTCACCTGTAGTTGAGGGACTAGGTTATCTCCTTCTAAATTAAAAGCCTTCTGGTATTTTTTTTTTTGATCTAAGTTAAACAGATGAGTCTCTTGAATTTAACAAAATAATTAAAATAATCAGCATCACCATTTTTAGCATTATAAAGAAATGACTGTAGCTATCTTAAGCAGTGGTAGCTACCATATGGAGAGTTCCTGAAAAGACGTATGGAAGAACTGGGGAAGAACATGTTTCTCTGCAGACAGCTCCAGTGTTCCTTGATGCTGCTGCATTCCTGTGGCTATGGCTGAAGTCTGTGGTTTCACCTGTCGTCTTCATGTGCATTGATCAGACAGAACAGGAATGGGGGGCCCTGTGACTGAAGGCAGGGCAGTGAAAGGCATCCCTGAGAATTCCTGAGGAGCAGATCCAGGAAGATCTCCTTTGCCAATGGAGCTACACATGAGGGAGAAGTTACCCATTGTGCTGGGTTATCACGTGTATTTCAGAAATAATCCATAGTTCCTCTCTATGTCGCAGGTTAAGCACAGTTCAAGTGATAACATATGGGCAGAACACTTGACAGAATTCTGGGGCTGGGTTGGATTTTTTGGCTTTTGTTCATTTTTTGTTCATTGTTTGGCTTTTGTTCATTTTGTTTTGCCTTTGGACATTTAAAAATAACTTCTACTCAGCATTTCCAGGCTACACCAACTACGCACAGTGCTAGCTGAAGAACACTGCAACCCGCAAGGGTTAATGTATGGATGCGACTAAAAATAAGGAAACTGGAGAGTTATCATATTGCCTTTCACAGGCTTCAGCAATCCTCCCATCTACAGGTACTAGTGACTCCTATAGGATGGGTGCAAAGCATGCATCCTAAAGCTCCCTCCTGGGGGATCATGAGGGGCACACCTAAAAATTCCATGAATTAAGGGAGACAGCTGATACCCTAAACACAGGAAATTGTTTCTGTTCTTATAAACTGCCCTAGAGAATGGGCACACAGCAGAAAGCTTTGAGAACACAGGGACTTATGGCATCAGAGGGGCAACAGGCACAAACTGAAACACAAGTGCTATCTAATCAGGCAAAAAAAAACTTCTTTACTGTGAGGGTAACAGAGCACTGGAACATGTTGCCCACAGAGGTTGTAGAGTCTCCTTTATGGAGAGATTCAAGTCGTCTGGACAAAACCCTTGGAAACACACTCTAGGTGACCTTGTTGAGCAGGGAGTTGGACTAGATGCTCTCCAGAGGTCCCTTCCAACCTCATCCCTTCTGTGATTCTTTAACAGTGCCATGGTCAATCACACTGGAAAACAAATGTTCTCAGAGGACAAAGATGGTCCCCAAAATACCTCCTCTACTTCCAATGCTACCAACTTGCTTTATAATGTTTGAGTCACTCTTCAAGGAGAAGAAAAAATAAATAAATAAAAATTAATATTAAGCTCGAAACCTACGCTCACAGTATCATCAGAATCTCAAAAACACAGTGTTCTGAGATTATAGGTGACCGTCTTTAAAGAGGTGGATTAGATAAAGAGGAAACAGTACTGAGAGAGATGGCAAACAGCTTCAGTGGGTAGCGCTTACAGTTTTTCCCCTTGGCATAGGACACCACCAATCACCACTGTGGCAAGTCCTGTCCCTAATTGTTGCATCTCACCTCTGGTTTTGAAGCAACCTCTGAGAAAGAAATGCTATGGACACAGTCCTCCATAACAGGCTGCTGAAGTGGAGTGAGAGAACCTGGTCAGCGCAGTCAGGAGGATTTATGTGCAGATGGGCAGGAAGGGGTACAAATCTCAGCTGAACTGAATGGTCAGACATGGGACTGACTGCGGTTTCACTCAAAGCTTACCTGCATTTTCCAGTTCCGTGTCTGAACAGACCCTTGGCCTTATGAATGTTCCTTCTGTAATAAGCTGATTTTCTAGTATTTCAGCTTTGTTTCTAGAGGGAGGATTACCAGTCCAGCAGCCTACTTCAGCACACAGTTAGTGTTCCTATTGACTACAAAATTACGACAAAGTTCTGCTAGAAGAAGGGTAGGTTTTAAATCTTAAATTCATCTGAAAGTATATGGAATGAGCAACTTAAGTCTAAAACCTAGAACTCAGTGAAACTCACTATTCCGTGGACAACCAAGCTAGTCAGCAAGCAGAAGCACACACTTTAGAAAGATGAGGCACTAAACACTGCCCAGGATATATCTCAATGCAGCAAAAAGCAGCAGAGAAACAGCTGGGCCCTTTGCACACTAAAGAGACCAGGCCATGTACAACACAGGCACAATTCCAACTGATCAGTTGGTCAGAAGTCTAATCCTGCTCCCAGGGGAGTGGAATGCATGTGTACAATCACTCAAAGAAGAACTGAAAGAATGTATATATTCAAATGTATTAGGAAAAAAATAATTTGGTCTTACTTTAAAATTAACTTTTTGCAAAAGGAGACCAGACTAGAATCTGGGCTGTTGATGTTAATTACACTGTTGCAGGTAGCTCCCCCTTCTTGCTGGTGGTGAGACTTTTGACTCCCACCTGGTAGAGCATTTCTACCAGTTCCATCCAGGTTTTATTAGCCTGAAACAGTAACCAAAAACAACTCTAACACATGCCACTATTTAAAACAAATGTAGACGCACACATTAGTAACCTGGGTGGAACTTTCAAAATGGCAGCTTTGCCATTCTGACTGCAGAAAGTCAATTTACATGGCAAGACCAGAATTTTTATTTCTTCAGTGAGCAATAAAAATTGCTTTCTGCAAAAAACAAGGGAGCGTACTTTTGGACCAAGGTCCTGGTACAACTGAGGGCTAAACCTGTTGATTCAAATTTGAAACGTCATCTTTGCAATGGAAGGGGGCAAGGTGGTACACAGTATGGCACAACCAGCAACCGGAGAGCTTCACAGTGCTGGCCCTCTAAATGGAAACTCTCTTATCTGTGTATAGAGATTAGAAGCAAGTGAAATTACAGGTGAAAAGAAAAGAGACACACACACAAATATTCAAAGTTGTACTTATTCACTGCAAAGAAAGTATCTAAGAGCTAACTACATACCTCCACCCACTCAGAAATTGACAAAAACAAGCCCCCAGCCTCAAACCTCTGTCAATTTCCAAAATTGGTCAGCTTGGGTATAATAAATTATTATGACAGTAATACACAGACTAAATGTTAAGGCTAGGAACAAAGGAAAACCATATGGCAACAGCAGTGAACAGTATAAAATTTACCCCTTGTTATGGTACCTCCCTTTTTTGTCCCTGATAAATTTCTACCAGTTTTACATCTTTCCTACTCCTTCTATACATAAATAAAACCCAAACTGTGTTCATCTTACTCCCCAGTGACTCCTTTCACATCTCCTGAAGGTATCTGGTAACTAGCAGAGATGTTTGCCTCTGTAGATGATCTCAGCTCCAAGAACAGAGAATAATTTCCTTCTCTCTGTCAGTGGTGTCGTTCCCATTTCTGCTCTGTCCCCCTTGAACATCTTTGCTGAAGCTGAAATATCCTGAGGGTCGGGGCCCTATCCCACTGCAGGAGTTCACCTACGTCAAAGGACTGCTGAAACTGGCTCGACTGGCTTTTGGATAAATACGCACAAGGGGAGTGGTGCAAAGCGTTCTAGGAACGGATCTACAAGCAGTCCACAGCTAGTGTCACCATGCTTTGGTGACAGCAGGGCAAAAAGCTGTCATAAAATAGAAAAGTTCTCCTTCGCCCCCAGGGTTCTGGGAAAGACAACTACTGCTTTTGTTCTAGTTGCCATCACATCTACTGCACAGAGAAAGTGGCCTTTGCAGTGCAGAGCAGTGCAGGAGCCTTCCCCTCCCCGCTGAGACGCAAGAAGCCCGCTTTGAGCAGAGCAATTGTCACTTTACTGCCCTTTAAGCTTTCCTGCAAGGAGAACACAAACAGCAGGCAATCCTACAGCCTAGAAAGAGAGCTAAGTCATAAACCAGAATGCTCTGTCACTTTTAAGGTGGGTGTCCAATTTCAAACTCTAATGCGGTTTCCTCCTCTTTGTCTCCTATCCATTTCGGAAGGTCCTGCCCGGAAGGGCAGCCCTCACACTGTCACTCTTGCTGAAAGGCTACTAAGAGCAGAAGATGTGGAAAGCATTTACCACCAGGACCCAGAACTGTGCTATTTTCCCAACTATAGCATCTTCTCCTTTTATTTTTTGGTATTCTACTCATGTCTGTATTCTGCCATCTTTAGTCAGTTTGGTTATGAATCCGTTAAGAGGGTGCTGGAGGGCAGAAATCAAGCATATCTTTTCTTAATGGTTTCATTAGAGGGAATGTTGAAGTAGTATTTGTCATGTGCCCCTACTAGAAAATACACCTCCTATGCCCCAAGCTTTCAGTACCATGCTGCTAAGCCTTCTCTGTCCCTAAAATCACTTGTGATCAATTCTGCCTGGAGTAAAGTAGATTATTTCACCTGAAGGATTTGCCACTACCCTGGTCAGACATATCCATCACCACAGACGGTAATTTGTTAGGCTTTAGTTCTTCCTTAAGCAGATCATTTGCAACTAATGTTGCACATTTTGACACAAGTTTGCTTAAGAGAACTGCCTAAGTTCTGTATTTTCCTTTCATTATATTACATTTTCAAGTGAGTTATGGAAAATGCAGGAGTCATGAAAGGGAATGAAATAATTTGTAAAAGGCTTTAAGCTGCCCAGCCAGGTATAAATAATGGTCATGCACCCACTCACTACTGAACGTAACTTAGTGCTCTGACATAGTTGTTTATTCAAAGTGTTTCCAGCAATTTTAGGATGTATAAAAGCCCTTCCAGGAATGACTGCAATAGTTCCAGTTCTAGTCAAAGGGTCCAGAATTCCTGCTCCATGACTCAGTGGCACGTGCACCAAAAAAGACTCCAGAGAACAACTGGATGTCAATGAACACCCTAATTGTTCACTGCACTAGTGCCATCTAGATACTGAGCAGCAGTGATGCCTACTTCATATGCTGAACAGTAAGCAGTTTAGATAGATGGATAGATAGATAGACTGACAGACGCAAGAGTTCGAGTCCACCCACTACACTGCCATTACCTAAACCAATTTGGTAACAGGAATACTCTAAATTCAGAATCTTACCCAAAATGGATGATCACCAAAAATTTCAATTCTAACATAAAAATGCTTTTGAAGTGCTGGGCCAAAAAGGTTTCCAGTTATTCAAGTGTACTAGCTTTGCTTAAGCTAAAAACTTTGTTCCCGTGAATCAATACAAATGTCCCAGCCAATTTAACCTTAAAAAAAGAAGCTGCATAGTTACAAAGAGTCAAAATATCCTAGTTTTTAGTAGCTAATTTTTATTCAGTAAAACAAAAAAGTGAAGCTCTTCCAAGCAACTTAATGCAAATAGGAAGGCACCCCAAAACAACTTGCTCTCAACTACACAGAATACACTTAGCATGCAATCTTCCTAGCCAATCTTCCTAGCCAGTCCCTTGGACACACTTCGACAGAATCAAGATTTTTATGAGCAATCTGCTAATTCATCCATATTTATCAATCTCAGCTGTATACAATCCTTGAGCATTCAACATGCAACTAATGGGAAAGATGTCTTCCCTACTGCCTCAGCCCTTTTGTGTTTTAAAATGCAAGAGTAGAAATTTGACAGTCATCAATGGTGACCTAAGAATCAAAGATTTCTTAAAACAGCGCACATTTGGGAATTTCATACATCTGCAATGAAGTTCCTATAACTTTTTTTTTTTGGTGGCTTTGGCACATCTTGAGATTTTTGTAAAAGGTGACATGCCCCCAGTTGTTTACCCTACCATCGTGTACTTGTCTTCAAATACAGTGGGTCTCATTCTATCTGCCGCAGTGAGAAATAGTAAGAGACTGTGCACACAAAACACAAATCTTGCCACCATGTTACAAATATTGGCTCTAGAATTTTCTAGAATATTCTACCATGAATTTAAAAAGTGATTAATTTGATAGTACTGCCAGCTGCAACTATTTTCTTAACAGAAATATAACTGTAATCCAAAGATGCAGTACATTTTATAGCATTAAGGAATGTGCAGACAGATCTGACAGTAGCAATCTGGTCATTTCAAGAAGCTCAAATTCTGGCAATCATTTCAAGTATTTAAACCAATCTGGAGAATAACATTCAGTGTTTGCATGCAAAATACCTCATGAGAAACTATTGAAGCTTCACAGCAAAACATAGCTATTCAGTACTCAAATCTTTAATAGAACCAAACGTTTTGACATGCTTTAAAATAAGCGAGAATACTAAATCTAGACACTTGGCTATGGCAGGAGTGCCTAAGCAAAAATTTAGAATCAGAACAGAGCACCCCTTGAACGTTTGCTTTTGCAAATAAAAGCTAGATCAGCCCTTGAGGGGGTTCACAGAGAAAAAAAATGTTCTTTAAGATCAGCACTAGTAAAGCAAGTAACAGCAGTATTAACACTACCTCCCGCCACCTCGGATAAGCCCTTCTTTTCAGTTGTTCATAATTTTTATATGCTTCCAGATTCAATAATTTTGCAGTGCTTGCATAGAATATCTTTATAGTATCTTATTAGAAATCTTCAAAATCCCCAGATTTTGTGCATAAATCTATAGGGTTTTACTGAAAGTAATTGTGGGAAGAGTTTTACTCCCTTACAATTTACAATTACTTCCCCTACAAACAAAGGCAGCAGAACAAAGGGTAACAGAAGAATGTGGTTAAAAGCAGTGAGATCTAAGAGTAGATGTAAGAGTAGAAATAAGAGCGCACCGAATACCAGAATCTAACCAAGAAGCTGGGTAGCAACTAGCCTCCATCCAGCATGTTACTGAGAGGAAGAAAAAAATACTTGTCCCTCTGCTAACTGACACAAGGAGTAATAACAACACCTGACCATCTACCTGCTCTCTACGTGTCCGAATACTGCCCTGGGGCTGCGAAGAACCCCCAGCTGGCAAAATGCAAATGAATGCAGTTTCATGCACATGCTTTGCTTCTAACATTACAAAAACTGGTTAGCACAACTAGCTGCAGAATGGGCAATTGTGCTCAAGTTTTAGAGGACACCAGCATCCCTAGAGCCCATACAGCATTGGGCAGTAGGCTTGGATAATTACAACCACAGTGTGCACAGAAAGCAACAGACTGCGAACGGCTGCATTGGCACCTTCGCTTCAGAACTCCCAAAAGCCAGGCTGATCTCCAGCAACCTCAGGATTGCCCTCTTGTGGCCACGGGTCACCCGACACGCAGGCCCTGAGCAGCCACCAGCTTTGGGAAGGAAAGGGAGAAAAGCCACTTCACACTTTCATTTGCTTCTATTTGAAGTGAAAATCACCTTGCAATTAAGGTCAATATAGCAACAGGCAGAAGACTGACTATTCTGTTCCACGAGGAAAAGAAAAATCCACACAGATATATAGTTATTTACTGTAAAACTGGAAGGAAAAGCAAAACGAAGAAGTGGCACATAAGAGCAAGACATGACTCCACTAATAAAAAATAGTAAGTTAGAAGTTAAGAACTGAAAAACAGGGAGAGGATTACATACAGCAACTGGCTTTATAAAATAAATACTGTAGTTTAACTTTCTTGTACTGAACAATCAGAATACAGCATTTCATTTGACTGATTCTTTGTCACTAAAGAACTTAAAGACCTTGCTCACAGGAAACGTGACATTGTCCTGTCAGAGATGGAGTCTGTCAGTGCATTTAGGCCCCTCCCTACTTAACAATAACCAAAGAGCAGAAGAAGTCTGCTCAAGATAAAACCCGATTATTAACACTGTACTCACTTTCACTCTGGAGGAAATCCGTTGGTTTAAAAGATAACAACATTAAACAATATGAGCCATACTAAATTTATTATTTATTTGCCTAACAATTTCTTAATTAATGTAATTAAAATGATCTTAATTAAAACATCCTTCTTCCTACTTACCTAGCAAATTCAGCCAGCTGTTTGGGGTCCGAGAGGTCAATGCCGGGTATTCCACCAGGAGGAAGTTTCTTTCCTGTCATGTATTCCGAGTAATCTGGAGGAGAATTCTCTCCAATGATCTGCTCTTCCACCACTGTTTCATGGTCAATATCTTTTTTATCATCTGAAATACATAAAATACTGAACTCAGTACATACTGAAGATTAAAACAGTATGTAAGTTATTAGACTACCCCTACAAATACAAATTCTTTATTGCTGCACATTCTTAAAGGATACAGTGAAATTCTAGATTTCTATGCTACTTGTAAACAGCAAAAAAGCATCCATACAGTTACAGCATAAGGAATACAGAAAGAACACAGTGGAAGAGGAAAAAAGCAGAAGTTACTATCTAATTTAACACAGGCAAATATGGAAATAAGTGGAGACATCCTACGAGAATGCTGGCTGCATTTTAAAGATTACAATGCACTTCTCCTGAACCAGTGCAAAGACACTTATCTCTCTTCACACATCTTCAAGTTTCAATATCCACTTTGGATCACAAAAACAGTCAATAACCAAATAAGCCTATCAATGGAGTGGCAGATACTATAAACTCTGGTCTTCACATCCATGCTCTTTAGACTACCCTAGCACCCAAGAGAAGGGTCCAAGACAGACATTAGGCTTTAAAAACAACTGCTTAATGGGCTTCAGCACTTGCTCATAAAATTGAAGTTTTTCAGCAGTTGCAGAAAGTTTCTGAAACAAAAAAACTAAACAGCCTGTTTGGCCTCCCAGAGAGGCTTCTTCTGCCTGTGCTAGAGCCTAAGCACCTTTCTACTCTGCTATGTAAACAACAGATAGAGACCATTAAGACCTTTGCTCTCCGAGCCAGCAAGAGAACGGTGCTGCCTACCACCCTGGAGATCCTCCTATGGATTTGTGCCTCATCGCTGCAATGAAGTCAGGTGGAAGCCCTGATGCTGTCTGCTCAGCTTCAGACTTTACAAAGCATCAGGACACTGGTGTCTCTCTCCTCCAGGTATGTTAGAACAGGGGAAGCTAGAAAGACCCCGCACCAGTCGTACCTCCACTCTCACCTGACAGAGTGCACTAGGACAATCGATGGTTGTTTCACAGCCATGTGCAGAATATAGCTGCAACTACTCAGCTAAAGGCTAGTGAACTTGCCACTACATTACTTCCCTCGCCTTGCTTATTTGAGGTGAATTCTGCAAAGCAGTTTCTACATAAAAGGGCTGCAAAGTCAAATGTATATAAACACATAAATTTAAGTTTTACAGCTAGTATTTAAGGAATGGAAACAGAAGGTAACAGGATAGAAACACTAATTCTCTCCTCCAAAAGAAAACATAAGCCAGAGAAGAAATGAGGCAAGCTTCTCCTCACCGTGCTGAGAAACACGGGAAATTACATTATCCATTACTCAGTAGCTTATGTTTTCTTGTCCTCTTCCCTAACTGAAGTGAGTAAAAGGAATATACTAAGGACACATTTCTATTCAATTTGTAATGCCTGCTTTTAATCTTCACCACTGAGCTATTTCTAGAAATGTTACTGCCAGTTTGGGGTTTATCTGATCTAGCAGATCAAATAGCAGTTCACTTATATGTTCCATGGTGAAAGAGGAGTTCAACTCACAGACAGAAGTGTTAATAAGAAAATATCATCTTCAGTATTAAACTACAAAAAAAAAAAAAAAAATAAATTTAATAATAAAAAAAAAAAAAAAAAAAAAAAAAAAAAAAAAGAAAAGAAACAACGAAAACAACAACAACAACAACAACAAGGACTTTGGACCATTTCTCATTTTACATCTTGTTTTCATTCAACCTTACAGGCTTTACCAGTGACAGTTATCATAAGCAAAGGTTTTCAGTAAGTTTTACAGTATCTGCAGGAGTTACAAATTCAATTCAGGTAAAAGCTTCAGGTTTAGCAATAGCTTGTTCTTCCAAACAGTTGGAAACTTGAAAAAAAAGATATTTACCAGTGCATACAAAGGAAGACCAAAAAGAAAAGGAGAAAAAAAAAAAACCCAAAAACCAACCAACCACCAACAACAACAAACACAACACAGAGTATGAAGCAGTGACTCAAAAGTGCAGAGCTTCTGGAGAGCCAATGTGAAGACTTCTGCACACTGCAGACTAGAATGAGATCAGCTGCCTTCAATTTAGCCATTTCCACAGCTACACAAAACTTCCAGTTTGACTATTTGATGACATTTACAGCAAAAACCAGTTTTCATTTCCTGTCTTATATCAAATGCATGAGTCAATGGGGAAATTTTGCACACATTCCTTAAGATCTTCCTTCTTTCCCTATTCCCTAGCATAAAGGCCCACTATTCGACAACGTTTTCCTGCTATTTTACAGGCAAAACAGAAAAATCAGCTCTTGGTGCCTTTCCTTCCAAAAAGGCTGCCAACAGAAATTAATTCCACAGCTATGTCTTAAAATAAGCTATGGGAGTAAAAAAAATGAAGACTACAAACACGTTGCCTTGATAGAGAAGAAAATAAGAGAAGGTATCCATTTGGACATTCCTGACAGTCATGCGAAAATAAGACACACTTGCTCAAGCTTTCCTATACCAAAAATCATATCTCTACAGCAGCACATACATGCAGGTTTAGAATTGACTTTACACCAAAACAACAACATAAAAAAAAATTACCTTAAAGTGTTGTGTCAGGCTTTTAAGGTCAAGATCTGGTTCATACGAAAAGTAAAATATTTTATCAAAAGTGGCAGCAGCCTGGATAGCTCTTTAGCACCCAGAATGTCCTAGTTAGAGACCATCCTATGATACTATCAACTCTTTCAAGAAAAAGAAAAAAGGAAAAAAAGAAAATCAAACAACAACAAATAAAAACTATGCTTCTTTGAAAGTTTACCAACGTCTGTATACAAATCTATCACAAGTTTATTTGTGATGTCCTACCAAGCTGGACTGAACAGCTCAAAGTTTGGAGGCTAAAGTCCAAGCAAACTTTCACTCAGGCTGACAAGTTAACCAATATTATCATTGCAAATAAGACAAGTTATATGCTTGACATTTTCTGCCTTCACAGAAAGTCTTGGCACCCATTAAGTCCAAAAGAACATATTAATTCCCCCATTTCTCCCATGAAGTAATGGAAAGGTCAAATGTATCGCAGCAAAAGCAAAGCAACACACACAGAGTCAACCCTCAAATTCTAAGCACACCTCTGGAAAAGTACGGTACAAATAAGGTGCAGTAATTCCATGCGGCTTAAGTCCATGCCAGGCTAATCTGGATGACACCCATGCAAGCTAAATACAGACAGATTCACAGACCCAGTGAAAGAAAAAAAAATGAATAGCTATGTACTATCTAACTTGCTTTATTTTGTTCCCCCTCTTGAACTTAAGACCCCTTGAGAGTACAGCAGACTTTAGTTTTAAAATATAAAACACTCTGCTTAAATGTACATTTATCACTGTTCCCATAGACCTATGATAGTTTCTAACAGAAAGCTGTAACACGATTTCAGTAGTCTTCTGAAATTTGCAATCACTTGAAGGCATATTCATTAGCTAACCACCTTATCGCAAAAATATGCATTACCAGATACTCTCCTATTATTTCCAATATTCATCCTGAATATAGAGACTGATTTGCTAAAAAAGAAAAAAAAAATCACAGAGATATCCCGATTTGTTAAAAAAGAAAGAAAAAAAAAATCACAGAGATATCCACAATCCCCTTCTATACAATTACAAAAACAAACAAACAAAAAACCCAGTCTTTTATCCTGAAATGGAGTATTCTATGTATCTGTTAAAGACATATTAGAGAGTTACACAAATAAATGTTAATGTCCTTCCTTTTGTGTTTATCTCATGCCACCTAAATAAACAACATACATTTTGAACTGGACACTTCAGCATTCAAAGCAAGTAACTCAAAGGAACATTTTTGTCCTAAGATAAGTGCAAGTCCTGCATTTTAAGCCAAATGCCTTTTGGCTACTGCTTAAATCAGAATTAACTAATCAGAGTACCAACCTCAAGTACCAATTCACATTATCCCAATTACTGGGATAAAACTAGAAATGCAGATTCCATGTAACAGATCAACAATAAAATGTTCTAGAATTTGTTTCCCAAGCCTTTTGTTGAAAATCCTTTTACTCTTATTATCCCACTTCACCACCTCTTGCTGCACAGAAAAACCATCCATCTCAGAACCTTGTAATTTCACACATGTCTGGAATAGCAGCCAATCTCAGCTGACATCCCTGGAATGTGCTGCCTCTTTAAGTAAAGACCCTCAACTTTCAACCCAAAAAGGCCTATCAGTATTTTGCCTCTGTTATGCTCAGATGTAACCTTGGGACTATCTCTGGATCTCCAGCTCTCTGAACTCCTACTTTGTTACAGAGCAGGGAGAACACACTGTTATTCAATCAAATCTCCCTTGTGGAAAATAGGGAGTGCAAAAGGGAACTCAGAACATGCACTTGCTACTACAGCAATGAGACTGCATCTTCCTCCCCAAAGTACCAAGTTAACAAAGGTTTACCGGCTGAGAAGATGAGCATTTAAGCTTAAATGTTGTTTATATGATTGCACAGTTAAAAGCATTTGCTTCTTGGATCAGCTGAAATGTAGTTATATGATAAAGGATGTATTTGGCAACTGTGCAGTACCAAGGCAAAGTGACAAAAGCTTGGCTATTGCCACCAAAATGTTATTTCCTCAGCCAAAATAGTTTACTGATCATGTTTGGAAGCAAAGGACCATAGCTAGCTTGTTAAATAATCCAGTTATTAGTTGAAATTTCAAAGTGATAAATGCCATTCTGCATGGTCTGACGATTCTTAACCTAACTGGCTGCTAGGCTACTTTCTATATAATGTGCCTTGAACAGATGGAAAACAGGTTCTTTTTTCCCCTTGTCACCTATCTCCTATGTCACATCACTGAAGGAAACAAGAACTGACAAAAACACGACATATATCAATAGTCACCATCTGACTTCAACATTTGCGAGACACTGTGCAGAAGCACTATGACCTTGTGAATCGTCACCATACAAGTGACGAGTTATCTCCCAAGGAAAGAATCAAAAGTTAGAGAACACCAGTTCAAAGACTGGCTGGGAGGCAACTTAACTGAAAAATTAAGTGATGAACCACATCAAAATAACTTGCTTTAAAAACTAAAAAGACACTTAAAACAGATGTAGGAAAATATATAAAGTTTATGCTTATTGTCTAGTGTTCACTGTCAAAAATTTTAGGGCAGATGGAATGGAAACCAAAAGCCAGCATAAACTCCCCAAATTCTGAAATATGGCTCTGCTACACATGCTTCCTGGATTACCAAGCATCCTTTGCAAATCACGTTAACCTCTGCATCACTGTCTTCCCTACCGAGGAAGGGGAGACTTCAGCAGTTTAATGCCCAGGTTTAGTTCAGTTATGTTATTTCAGCCCTAAACTTGCCGAGTATCTCTGCTAATGATAATAAATAAAGCCAAAATAAATAAAAGACAAAAGTCTTTTTTCAGATCCAAAGGCTTTACAGAAGTAGTCATTACTCAGAAGCAGATGTGGTTACACCAACACCTTTTTTTTTCCCAAAATTAAGACCAAGTTATTTGAAATTCCAACATTTACTGAAGCCGGTACTTCAGTATCACCTCCATAAAATGTTCGTAAGTGTTTGTTTTGCAAATGCACCCAACCAAGTGATTTCTAACAAGCCTTCCCCTCCCCACTACAATTGTGTACATAATCCAGAGGATATATTCTGGATTAAGAAGGTTCAAATTGAATCCTGTCAAGGCAATCAAATTCAATTTTGTAAAAACCAGTTTTCCTAGTTTCCCAGTTTTACAAACTGAGGTCTCTCACACATAAGAGGGCCCTTAACTACACACAGTTTTTTAAATCCAAGGTAGGAAACTCCAATTAAAGTAACAAGGAAAGATGCTAGACACTACTGAGAAAAGGTAATACAAGAACAGGACTGAAACTCTACAATAAACGCTTATTTAAACTTCTCAAGGAATAGAACACGAACGTATATTTTCACATACGAAGAAAGTCAAATAATTCCATTCTTCATCTAGAAAGTTAATCTGAATGAGAACAAAGCATTCCTGTCTCAAATGAAACAGTTTAATTAAAGTAATTGTGGGTCAGAAGTTTGATATCACCATAGATACTAAGGTGATAAGAGCAGTCATTGTAAGGTTAAAGGGTTGTCAACAACAGTACTGCAACTAAGTAACCACATAACAAGGCAAGGATTGAGTACTCCCTTAACTGCATTAGTATATATTTCTTATGGACTACAGTGCACATTTCAAGACGTGTTGAAAGATTCATTATGTTATACTCATTTATGGATAAAGATTTGTGATTGCCTATGTTTAGTATGAGCCACAGACAAGTTAATACAGTAGCTCCAGAACACAGTAATAAGAAACTAATTCACATTGTCTTTGCACACTGCAGTAAGCAAAGTGCTCTTGTTCCCCATTCAAATATCCAGAAGCGGCGAGAGCACTCATTGTTTTATCTTGACACATGGCCTTGTTTACCCCTCGTCTTTTGATAAACTTTTTGCTAAATACTTAAATAGTCAATTACATCAGGGTGCAAGCGCATCTTTAATTATGTCAACATACAGATGCAAAACTGCTATCTTTGTTCAAAATAAAGTGTCCTTGTTTCGGCAGGGGAAAAAAAAAAAACTACACACACAGGACAACTACCCTTTTGCAAGCAGGTCATTTGTTTTGTTTTTTTTAATTTTGCTTCTGTTGAAATTTTTCTGGCATTCACTCCCCCTCAAGCTTCCAAAAACAGAAAATGAAGTCCCGGAACTTCCACTTGACCACAAACTACTCGGACCACTTTTACAGCATTCACTGAGCTGTGAGAGAGGTACAAAAGCCTATCCAATAGGCTCAGTAAATGTCACAACACTTAATCGAGCAGCATATCACTACAGGCTGCTTGAACTGCCTGTGTTGCGGGAGAAGGTCAACTTTAATACTTTTCTTTTATATACAAACTTTGAGGTTTGGGGTTTTGAGTTCATTTATGATGAGATTTATTAGTAGTTAACTTGGACAGGTATTCTGCATCCTTCTGTATCGTGGTTAGACTAAAATCAAGTTGAATATATCAGTGCAGTTCAATCCCCAACAAACACATGGTTGATACTGTCCAGACTGTCCTTGCATATTTATGATCATAAAAAGCAAATCCACTAAAATCAAGAGCGAGTTTCTCACTGAAGTAATGGTGAGAAAGCAATCAAGTGCTCTGATTATACATGCATTTCATTTCAGTCGAGTAATAACCTGTACAAAGAAGCTCTATGGAAGCATCTGACTGGGCACTATGATTTCAGAGTGCAAATGCATGTTAGCGATCGGTGACTGAGATCAGTTGGCTCCTGCAACAGGCTCACTCATGAGTCACGCAGCCACTTGCGTTCAGTTATCTCAGATGGCTTCCTCACACCATAAAACTATAGTTTTTTTTTTTTTTCGGTCTTTCCTGGATGGCCTTCTTAAGAAAAAAAAAGCTAGTGAATTGAATTCAATTTACATGTATTGATACATAAAGAAGTACAGAAATCCCATTCTATCAAATTGTATTTCAGAAACTCAAATGGAAAGTTCTCAGCTCACTAAGAAGCAGACCTGATTTGCTGTCAACAAAGTATTAGACTCCTAAAAAGAAAATATTTCTGAGAACATTTTACAGCAGCTACATCATATACACACACACAAAAGTACCCTAAGTATTACATTTTCCATTAAAACTTTTTAAATAACCACTTA